ACATAGCATCTTTAAGTATTGCAACTCATGGCTTGAATTTGTTCTTCAGTTCCTTCAGCTTGAGAAATGCTGAATAGGTTCTTCCCTTTTGATTTTCCAACTCCAGCTCTTTGCACATTTTTTTTCTAGCACTTTGCTTTGTCTTCATGACCTGCGCTTGGAAATCTTTTGTTCAACTCTTCAGCTTCCTCATTTCTTCCCTTTGTTTTGGCTTCTTAGCATTCTAGTGCAATATTCATAGTCTCCTTTGACATCCATGTTGGTCTTTTCTTTCTCCTTTGTTTCTGTAATGATCTTTTGGTTTCTTCATGGATGATATCCTTGGTATCATCCTATATACCTTGTCTAGTCTTTGTTCATTAGTGTTCAATTCCTCAAACCTATTATTTAGATTATTTTATTATTCATTTTAATGAAAGTTTACAGAGACTTAGAGTTTCTAATCATTCATTCTTGCACTTTTCTCCCTGTCCACCCTCTCCCCCCAATTCACTCTTCTCCTTGAAAAGTAAAGAAAAACTCTTTCACTGTTACACAATCCCTCCCCACAAGTCCACTTCACTGTGCAGCCTTCATTCTGGACTCCTGTTATGACAGTAATGCCCAGTCATATATCCCTTTTAAACAGGTCTCTCCCTCATCTGTTTCAATGCAGTATACATCATTCCTCCCCTCCTTCTCTGGCTTCCTTCAACCCTGATGTCAGTCCCGTTTTACAACAATGACCACATGCAGTGGTCCTTTTGTGACTGAGATATTTCATTCAGCATAATGTCGTCCAGGGTCATCCATTTTGCATAATATTTCATGAGTTCCTTGTTTTTCAATGCTGCATAGTATTCCATTGTGTGAATATACTACAGCTTCTCTATCCATTCGTTTGTTGATGGACACTTGGGTTGTTTCCAGCTCTTTGCTATTGCAAACAAAGCTGCAGTAAACATGGGTGTGCATATATATCTTCCTGGCTGGTGGTTATGGTTTCTTTAGGGTAAATTTCCAGTAGTGGAATTGCTGGGTCAAATGCTATTTCTATTTGCAACTTTTTTTAAAAGCGCCATACTTTCTTCCATAGTGGTTGCACTATTTTACACTCCCACCAACAGTGAATAAAAGTTCCAGTTTCTCCACAACCTTGTCAGCATTTGATGTTTGCTATTCTGTTAAATTTTGCTATTCTTACTGGTGCAATAGATTCAAGGTCAAACTTGTTTTTGTAGATTCTTTTCTTTTGCTTCAGTTTGAATTTGCTTCATCTCACTAACATACTTTGGGCATGTTGCTAGGAGGAGCTGTTCCTTGGAGAAGGACATGATTCAGGGAAAGGTGGATGGCTGGCAATGAAAAGGAAGACCCTTGACCAGATAGACTGATGCAGTGACTGCTTCAGTGTGCTCTTGTGTGTCAGAAAATATGAGGGTGGCTCAAGATTGAACAGGGTTCAGATCTTTTGTTCATAAGTTGTCGTACTCCACTCGATGGCACCTAACAACAACAACAACAACATTTCATTGATGGTCTTTTTCCACAGTCAGCTTCTGGCCTGGTTTTCACAGCTGATAATGAACTTCTCCAACAATTTTTTTTCACAAATGTAAATCAATCTGATTCCTGTGTAATCCATCAAGTGAGGTTCACATGTAAATTTGCTGTTTGTGTTTTTTTTTATAAAAGGTGTTTGCAAATGAATAAATCATTGACTGTACAAAATTCTATCATTCTATCTCCATCCTCATTTCTGTTACCACGTCTGCATTTTTCAACTACTGACTTTCCCCCAACTTTTGCATTGCAGTCACCAATTGTTATTTTTTCAAGTAAAAGAGTGAAACTTAACTTTTATTTATAGGACACTGCAAGATTAGAAAAAAAGAAATCCAATGACAGGAAAAGCTTCTTACAGTATGTTTGAAACTGTTCAAGTATAGTTTTTTGGTAAAAAGTAATCCATTAACAAATCACATTCATAAAGAATTCTTAGTAGAGAAACAGTAAAACAAAGTTATACCAAACATAGTACACAACAAGCAACTCTTTTATTCATTTGTACAAACTTTAAAAATTAAAGGTCCCAGCAATGCCATTCTGAACTTGGAAGGTGGTATACCCTTCAGACATTCTGCTGCAACATTCTGGTCCTCTTCTTCCTCTACAGAGAAATACTTTTCAATAAAATTTAATGAAGCCTTGTACACACTCTCATTTTCATGGCTTTGTAGAGCTTCAGTTTTGTCCAATCCTTCCCATGCTACAATCATTATGCTAAGCTTTTCAATTTCCATTATTTTCTCAGCAGCCTGAAAGGTGTTTGAAATGACAGCCAGGATATCCAGAATAATCTTAGTATCCTTCACAGATAAAAAGTTCATCGGTAGCTCTATTATGCCACAATGGATGAGGTATTCAATCTGTTCAACTGTTCCACAACCCATTCAGCTTCTTTTTGAGTCTTAGTCTGCCTTTGAAAGAATGTCAGAGAGGAATGGGACTAATCCTTGATTAACTACTTGTTGTTTCTGGTCCTGACAGCCTGCTGTAAAGTTTGACATTGTCTATGTATCTTCCTTCTGAATATTGGTTTTAGGATTGGTTAGGAGGCTGGGAAACACAGCAAGTGATCCCCCAACCTGAGTCTGATCATCTGTTTCCATGCCAATGTTCCCTATGGCTCTTGTGCAGAAGTCAAAATTGCCAATTCAGTAACTCCTAGGAGCTTCACGAGTTAGGGTACGGCTCCTGTTTTCATAATCATTGCAATTCGTTAATTTGGACCATCAGTAAGATAGGAATAGCTGAACAGGTATCTTCCAACCCTTCTGGATCATCATGATGCAGGAGTCAAAGTAAAGTAGGAAGATTTTTCTCAACAGCATCTAAGAGTAGTGCAGGATTCTTATGTAGACAAAGATCTGAAACTGTCCCAGTAAGATTACATTTAAGTGTTGGCAGATACCTATTGATCTACTTCCTATCTTACTGATGGTCCAAAGTAATGAACTGAAATGGTAACCACATGCTAAAGATGACATATCAGGAAATGTAAGTAGTGCTAACAGTGGGTCAGTTGCACCCTATTTAATAACCAAGTCTTGGAAAGATGAGCCATCACCTGCAATGTTTCCTTGAGCCCATACAGCCTGTTGACTGATGTGAACATGAGGAGATGCCAACAGAGAAATGAAAGTTGGACTAGCACCTCCATCTCCCACAGCCTTGGTCTGTCTGTCCAGATGTTTCCAAAGCAATGTTAGCGATTGCCCAAGCAGATTCAAACTGAATAGGACCACAATCGTTTCTGCTCAAGAAGGACACAGTTTAGAATCAAGCCCGCCCGAATGATGTTGTCTATGGGGGGTTGTTTTTCCCCAGAAATCAGTTTCCTAGCAGCTGTGTAGCCTGAAGCTGGCTCTCCAAACTTACTATTTATGCCTTCGATAAGGTCATCAATCTACAGTGCCCTGGTTATCACAGTTTCCCTGCAGTGGAGAAGTAGCATCATTGAATAAAGTGCTTACATTTCTCCTTTTCAGCATCTGGTCATCCTTCTTAGCTTTTCTCAGTTCCACATTAACTTCTATGCGGCGCTGATAATTTCTGTACTGTACATCTCCTTGTTCTCTTAAGCTTGGCAGATGATGAATTAGCATTCTTCTCTTCAGTGGACATGGTTGTGAGACAAAAGGAGAAAGCTAAAAGTTGTGGGCAGGCTCAAGATTCTATAAATGGCAAGCAGTAGGTAGGCCACCCCCATGGATCATCCAATGCAGCTCCAAACCAAGACCGTGTCCACCAATTATTCTTAATACATCTTGATTGTATGTTCAATAGACTTCAGACTGCAAAATTTGGTAGAATTCTATTTCCTCCTCTTTGGCTTTAGTTATTGGTGCATATATTTGAATGATATCATGACATTAACATGTCTTCTTTGTATGTGTATGGATAATATCCTGTCACAGCATGGATCTAGAAATGGTCTTTTTTAAAAAAAATTATTGTAATGAAAGTTTCATTCATTCATAGTTGCACAAAATGGTCATTCTGACTATGAATATGACCCCATGTTTCCTCACTTTTTCATTCCCTGCATAGTAGATCATATGATTGTCTGATTCAGGGTGGCCCATGTCAGTCCATCTCAGCTCACCAGCATTAGTTTGTTCCATTAGGTGTTCCATTTCTTTGCCTTTGGGTTAGCAGTGTAGCTTCCCACAGACTACACCACCAGAGCTCCCTGGGCATTTTCTAGGATGTGTTCATCACTGTGCTATGTGCCAGATGTATATACTCAGGCCTTATGAGGTGCATACACCACAACTTCGAAATATGCAAATGCAAAACCCAGAGCTTGGAAAATAGAAGTAGTTCCTCAGGTTCACATATTAATTAGCAAGCAGTCCGGGTAGGATTCACATTCAGGCCCAGCTGACTCGAGTTCCAGTTCCCTCCTTTTGCGTCTGTTGGTGCCAAAGTCTGTTCCAGAAATCTCATGTATGTTCTCAGTGCCTTGAGTTACTGGCAAGGATACTGAGGAGAATAGAGGATCAATAGCTCATACAAGGTCACAGAACTGGCAAGTAGTGAAGGTGATATGTGAGCTTGATGGTTAGACCCTAGAGTTCATGTTCCTACCCATGAAACCAATTACCAACTTGCCATGAGCTCTGGTGGCCTACTGGTGAGAAATTGGCACTGATAACTCTAAGGCACACAGTTCAGATTCACCAGATGCTCTGAGAAAAAGATTTATGATATTTAATAGCCTCTGAAAGCCTGCTAGAGGGTCAGCTATGAGTTGGTTCTGATTCTACACCACACAACAATATGAGCTAAGGTGTGAAGAACATTTCATTCAAACTTTGTAAATAAATCTGTACAAAATAAAAACACACACACACACACACACACACACACACACACACACACACACACTCACACAACCCCAACATGAGTTAATTACAACTAGTTGCTGATTTCTGATGCACTGGTTTTATTCCCAGAATTTAAGCACTATTCGAGATGAGTCCGAGATGCCTATTATTGAGATGAAAATAATGGAGTGCGGTGAAGACATCACTCAGCTGTTCAATATGCTCATGACCCTGGAGATGCAGCTGGTGGAACAGTTGGAGGTGAGCAGGACCCTAGAGGAAGTGGGGGCTGGGAGCCTGCTGCTCCATAAGGACTGTGAAGCAGACTAGCTGTCAGGCTGATGGCAAGTGCTGTGCTTAGGAGGCTCACCTTGTGGTCAAATCTTGCTCACCAACCTGGAAATAGAGTAGGTTTGAGTTGGATCTTGTGGAAGAAGAAAGGCAGATCCCCCACCTAACAGGGAGAGGTTTGTTATGGGCCCTGGAGCTGACTGGTTGCTTAGAGACAGAGCAGCTGCACTCTACAGTCTGGCGTCACTGTAACGTGAAGCAGCCAGAGCCTGCAGTTCACCAGTAAGAATTCATGAACAGTGTATACCAACTTTGTAAGCAAATAAATATAAAATTTTAAAAATTAAAAACAAACAAAAAAGAATTCATGAAACACCAGAATAGCGTGTCTTCATGAGGCACTGAGTTAGAGGTCTGATGGTACAATGAATGGGGCCTGCCTGGATGCTGCCTTGTATGAGCTAGGAGATGGTGCCTAATTTGTTCCTCATAGGCCCAGTGCTCCTCTCTCCCAGACATGAGACTGATGCGCTGCATATCCCTCATAAGGTGGGCATGCTCCAGGAGACAACCACACGGTGTTCTCAAGCTGGAGACCCTTCTTAGCTGCCACAAGTTATCCAGAGTTCATGAGCAAGTACACATATGTCAGCGGCTGATAAGCTGCAGTACAGATGTGCTTCCCAATGACTGCTTGAGACAGCTGCATTTACATGTGGTTGGGGAAAGTGTAATTAGCTTGACCTGTGGACAGGCCTTGTCCAGATTCTGCTTGCAGCCCCTGGAATCTTAGACCATGTAAAGGACTTACCCATTCTGAGAACCACATCTCCACTGAGCATCTAGGTCACAGAGCCTCCATGGAGGCCATCAATTCCCTGAAACAGATACACAGCAACATGCAAGATTCAGGTGATGACTCTCCTGAGAGCTGCTGAGTGAGGGAACTTTGGCACAAAGTTTGTGTGAAGTGATTCATGTAGGCCTAACAATAACTCAATACCAGACACCTTAAAACTCCATTTTATAGATCAAGAAGTAAAGCCTAGATAGGTTAAAAACTGTATGATAATTGCATTGCAGTAGCAGATCTGGGGGTGATGCTGTACCATTTTTGTGGAGTGATAAACAGTCACAGTGAGATGCAGGTGACTCTGTGGTTGGGTAGGACACACAAGACCAGAGAGAGGCTCCTGTATGAGAAATAGCCTCAGGTAAAGAGCAGGAGAAAGCAGTGGACATTCAACTTATGGTGAGTAAGTTTATGTGGCCAGAATATAACTACTGTGGGAAGAGATGGGGCCATTCACAGCACCCAAGTAAGTTGGAGATAGACATGAGGGCAGAGGTGACCAACTGCTGCTGTGTGCTAAGCAGCACCTTATGCTCTGCCTCTAGGTCTTCATATCTAAAGCACAAGTTAATTTTTTTTTTTCATTCCCAGGAGACGATAAATATTTTTGAAAGGAACATCAATGACTTGGTAGGACTCTTTATTGAAAATGTCCAGAGTCTATATCCTTCCAGAGAAGACTCTCCATGAGGAGGCCAGGCTCCGCTGATTTGTGGGGTCATCCCAGAGGCTCCAGAGCCCCTCACCCCTGACTCCAGGGAGCTAGGTTATTGTGTACAATTGAGTCAGAACTGACTCATAGCTGACCCTCCAGTGGGTTTTCAGAGGCAGTTAATCACATGATTAGTTGATTAAGAGATTGTCCATCCTTCTCCTGTAGAGTAGGTGGTGGATTTGAACCATGTGCCTTTGGAATTGCAGTGGAATTTCTTACCAGTACACTACAGGGTCCATACCTGCCCCGCCCCCAACACCAGCACTGTAAACAAGCTTAGACAGAGTAAAAAGTCAGCCCTTGCTCATTTGATTTACAGAAAAATCCTCCACCAAGGGGATTTAAGTTCAGCCAGGAGCAGTGAGAAGGTCCACCTCTGAAATGAGAGGAATGTCATACCTCTATTTCACACACACACACACACACACACACACACACACACAGGGAGGGGGAGAGGAGAGGGGGAAGGGGAGAGAAAGGAGAGAGAGGAGAGAGAGGAGAGGAGAGGAGAGGAGAGGAGAGAGAGAGAGAGAGTGAGAGTGTGTTAGTACAGCTTCAAGGATTGAGATTGGGCACATGCTTAAATTGTTCAAAAAGCATGGCACGAAGTTTTCCCCCAGACACCCAGGTCAGCCGTGGTCAAGTTGGAGCAAATGTGTAGCTGCCTACGTGTTCCTGTTCCGGTAGAGTTGTGGGGTGCCTGCCTCCAAGTGGAGGACATGCATAGGCCAAAGCGCTCCAGGACCCCTGCATGCCCTGTGTTTTGGGGAAGCATGTCCTGAGTGTGGGGTCAAGAATATGGACAGATTCTTTACAGTGAGTTAGTCAGATTGAATGTCAGAGATTAAAGCTAGTATTGAGACCTTCTGCCACCATTAAGCTATTGAACTCACTGCCCTGCCATGTGGATGAAGGTGCAGCAAACTATTGGGATCTTGCCCTCATGGGTTGCTTGGACAGAGAACAAGAGTTACAGGTATGATGAATGCTGATGGAAATGCAGGCTAAGGGACACCAAGCCACTAGATCTGAGGGGAGGACTGAGTGGCCAGGTGTAGGCCTAAGAAGAGGCCCAGAAGTCTTGTTCCCAAAGAGAGGCTGGTGGGCATTTCTTCATTGGAGGTCTTAAACCAAGTTGAGGAGCTGTCTTCATCTTAGGTGATTCTAAGCCAATGGGATGGGGTCCAGGCTGCCTGTAGCTTTGAAAGCGCACTCTGGCTGCTAGCAGAGTAAGAGTTAGGTAGGCAAAAAGCAACGATGGGAAAAGATAGGGTGTGAGACTAGGCAGAAGGTAGGGAGTTGGGATGGATCTAGTGCTAGTACATGCATGGCTCAAGACCCTTCTACTCCACAAGCCTGTTCTTTCCTAGCTGGAATGACATCCCCTGAGAGCTGACCAGGGACCCCTTGACAGTGCCCCTTAGGGTGACCCCTAATCCCATCAGGGCTGTACCCTCCTGCTGCCCCTCCTTTACTTAACTCAGAGTGCACCATGGCTCAGTGTCGGGACCTAGAGAACCACCACCATGAGAAGCTCCTGGAGATCTCCATCAACACTCTTGAGAAGGTAGTCAAGGGTGAGCTCGATGAAGACCTGCCTGATGATGTCCGCGCGGTGAGCAACAGGGACTGTACCAGGGGTGGTAGTAGGCCCAGCTCTAGGGCACAGGAGATAAAAATCTCACTGAGACTCAGTGTCTTCATTTGCAAAGTAGAACAACAGCCCACTTTCCGTTATGGGGACTGTCTTAGTTATCTTGTGCTGCTGTAATAGAGACAGTACAAGTGAATGGCTTTAACAAATACAAATGTAAACATTTTGTTGTCATTGTTATTGTCAGGTACTATTGAGCTGAGTACTCCTAGCAATCCTGTGAAAAACAGATCTGAACCCTGTTCTATCCTGTGCCGTCCTCCTTATTTCTGGCATACTAAAGCCCATTGCCATAGTCACTGTGTCAATCCATCTCATGGAAGGTCTTCCTCTCTTTCATCAAGCCTCCACATTTCCAAGCATGATGTCCCTCTCCAAGAAATAGCCTCTCTTATCAACATGTCCAAAGTATGTGAGATGATGTTTTGTCATCGTTGCATCCAAGGAGCACTCTGTACTTCCTCTAAGACACATGTTTGTTCTTTGTAGACTTCATGGTATATTCAGTACTCTTCTTCAATACCACAGTTCAAGGCATCAATGTTTCTTCTATCATCCTTATTCATTGTCCAGCTCTCAGGTGCATAGCAAGTGAATGAAAAGATTGTGGCCTGAATCAGGCACACCTTAGTCCTCAAACTGACTTCATTGCCCCTCAGTAATTTTGAGACTACAGACTTTGCCACTGCAGTACATCTCCTGATCTCCTGACTGTTGTCAAGAGTATTGATTGTGGATCCAAGTAAGATGAAGTCATTGAGAGTTTTAGTCTTCATCTATCATGATGTTGCCTATTGGTCCAGGAGTGAGAATTTTTGTTTTCTTGATGTTGAGATGCAACCCATATTGATGTCTGTAGTTTTTGCTCTTCTGCAGCAAGTGCTGCAAGTCCTCCACACTTTCAGCAAGCAAGGTTATGACATCTGCATAACACAGGTTGTTGAGTTTTTCTCCAATTCTGATGCCCCACTCTTCTTGGACTCCAGCTTCTCCAGTGACTTACTTAGCATACAACCCTAACACATGCTTTTCCTGATTTTAAACCATGGAGTGTTCCCTTTCTCTGTTCGATTAACAGCCTCTTGATTTAGGTACAGGTTTCACATGAGCACAATCAAGTGTTCTGGGATCTCCATTCTTCTCAATGTTAGCAATAATTTGTAATTATTCACACAGTCAAATGCTTTTGCATATTCAATAAAACATAAATAGACATTCTTCTGATATTCTCCACTTTCAGCTAGTATCCATATGACATCAGCAGATATCCCTGGTGCCACAGTTTCTTCTAAACCCAGCCTAAATGTCTGGCAGTTCTCTGTCAATGTACTGTTGCAGCAGGTTTTGGATGATCTTCAGCAATATTTTGCATGCATGCAATATTATTATATTATTTGATAATTCACACTTTCTGTTGTAATACCTTTCTTGGAAATTGGAATAAATGTGGATCTCTTCCAGTCATTTGACCAGGTAGCTGTCTTCCAAATTTTCTGGCACAGACTGGTAAATACAAACATCCAGGGCTGCATTCAGAGTACAACAGTATTTAATGGTTAAATGCTCGTGTAGTGTTACAATCAGTTATAGAAGCTTTGCTGGATGACAGTACCCAATCCTTCCCCATACCAGGCAAACTAATATTGAATATGAGCCAGCATGGGCAGGGCCCATGTCCTCATTCCAAGGGCCTGAAGGAAGGACCAGGATCAAACAGTTGCCATTATATATTCATTCAATAAGGGAGGAATATACCCCACCAGCAAGAAAAACCTCTGTTTTCACTGTCAAATGAGATGAGGATAAGATTTAAAAGAGGAAACCACTGAAGGGACAGTCTAATGTAAGCTGTTAATAATTCAGAGGGGTAGGAAGACCCCCCTGGTCTCCATTTCCCAAAGGTGCTCACTTTCCCAGCTTCCTCATTCGGTCATCTATGCCAGCAAAGTTACCCTCTACTGTGGTCAGGTTTTCACACATGCTTGTCAGCACTTGGGTCAGGAAAGTGGTATTGTCCTTGAGGGAACTGGCAATCATCTGTTGAGTGGTATCCAAATATGTCAAAAGCTGACCAAACCGCATAACTTGTTTGTGCAACTGTTTTTTGTTTTGTTTTGGTTTGGGTTTTTTTGTGCAACTGTTTTATGGAAATGAGCCGCTGCACCAGCTCAGGAAGGGTGGAGGCAATAGGGCTCCAGTGCTGTATGGTTTTTATATAGTTGATGTACCTTGCTCTGTGTATTTGCATCTTCTACAGAGGCTTTATGTTTTGTGATCTCATTCCCCTTTCCCAGGGCAGTCTGTACTGGAGCCTCCACTTGATCCAAAACTGCAAGACCCAAGGCTTTCATCTTTGCTTGCAATAGCTCTGTAGTCTCCGTAAGACAAGTTCCTTGTATACCTGCAGAAAAGGGATTCTGACCATCCTGATCACAGCCTCCAGCTCTGTCAGGTGCTTCTCAAGTTCTGCCACTTTGGCAGCTTGAAAGAACTTGTGCTCAGGCCGAGAATATAATTCGTAAGTGACAAGGTTGCTATCTGGAAGAGCCCCACTGGTGGTCTTACTGGCTGAACCAATGCTTTTGCTATTTTTTGTTGCTGTTGCTTCTAACTGCTGCAGCAGGCACTTAGTTAGAACCCCATCAGGGTCAGTGAGGTTGACTGCAGCATCTGGTCCCAATAGTTTCTTTAGGTGGGAAGCAACCAGCTGCTGCTTTAGAGCTGCCAGCTATTTAGCCAGTACCACTAGGGTCACCTTCTCCTCAGTGGCTGATTCCTTCACTCTTGTCTTGATTTTTTAAACTTCAGTTGTAAGCTCTTGGACCTCATGCAGCAGTCACTGGTACTTTTGCTGGGGTGTTTCCTTTCCTCCCAGACCTTCTCCAAACATTTCATAGTTTCTACATTTATATCCTGTCCTCTTGGTTTTTCCAATACGATCGGAAAAATCAAGTCCCTTTGTTGCCACTCGCTTATCTTTGAACTTGTCATAGACTGCATTAGAATTGACAATGATGTGTTCCACACTTCTGTTTGCCAGTTCTTTTGCATCAAACTCTGCATGATCATCCTCAGGTAGGTAACTGGTTTCATAAACATCAGGTTGTTCCTGAAAATGGTGGGAAGATCAGCATATTTAGGATCCACCACGATGGCAGTGAAGCAGGGTTGGGGTACTGAGACCTCAGTAGAGTCAGGGCTGGCATTCAGGTAGAGGATATGCTGAGTCCCAGGTCCCAGGCTTTGTCATGGGCAAAGGGAGCCCAAAGTATTATTTTTATTTTCCTACCAGGCTATTCCCCACACACACCCCCAACCCATTTCTCAGGTAACCTTGAAGGCCCCCTTCCATTTGGGCCTGAGGGCCACAGGCCCTGGGGCCAAGAAAAACCTATCTACACACCAGTTCTATAGGACACATCACCATCGCTCGGGAAACATTACCACTAAACTTAAGAGACACTGGTCAAACATAAGAAACTATCAGCAGCTGACGTGTTTGGAATCACAGAAGCCAAGGAAGCTTCAGATATAAGCTATCAGATCAAGGACTGGTCAATGGGAGATAGATGTTGAAGGGAGTGGGTAGAAGTGGATGGGTAATCCGGTGGATGGTGGAGCAGGGAAATAAATGGGTAAAGACACATGTGCCAAAGGCAGGGACAACACTGATACTAATGGTTAACTCACAATAAGGGATAGATCTTTCACTTTTTCTATAAAACACTGGTCTGTCTGATACTTCTCTAAATCTGAACATTCAGATTAAGACAGACTAGGAAGAA